TATGGTTCATGGGGTCACGAAGAGTCGGACACGACTTAACGACTAAACAGCAACAACAACATATACAGAGAGAGGAAGAAATGTAACAATATTCTAGCCAGGACAATAACTCCCCTATTAGAAAAATAAATAAATAAATAAAGTTTCTCATTCTTTCCACAGTGTGGAATCTTGTACCTCGGAAAAATTCTTCAATCAAAATACAATTTTAATTTATTATTAAAGCACCTTGATAATTCAAGTTTCAGTTAGAATAATCTGCAGTTCTCTATCCATGTCTACTATACTACAGGTAAATCCAAGCATATGAATAATTTTCAGTTCAAAAGCAAATGTGAATGCAACTGTAACATTAAAAGGAATTGTTTTAAAACATACACCTCTCCTACTCCAATCACAAATAAACCTCCTGAGTTCATGCATTCAGTATAAAAAGCAAATACAGTTAATTTGTAATAACTGTAAATACTCCTTTTGCCTTCCAAACCTGAACTCAGAAAACACCAACAAGAAAAGGAAAAGTGGTAGCTGCTAAGTCTTTTGCCACCATCCCATAGGGGATGGAGTATGTTATAACAAATCCCTCCAGTTATGTAACAGGTAAGTGCACATACATGCAAGAGCAATCTTAAAAAATGTCCTAGTCACTTTTAAAGATCAAGAATTATACTGTTTTGGAAGCAAAAACAGGAGGTAGAGAGAACCATTCTTCATCCTTGTTTTCAAATACAAGCACTCAAAATATGCAAAAAAAAATCTTCAGCAGACTTTTTTCTGCTAAAGAAAACCCATTTTTTATAAATGTATTAAAGATAACAAAAGGAACAAGCTATTTTTAATTGAAGGGCTTGCATTCAATTGAGTAGATTAGAACCCCCTTGATTTTATTACAATTAATTTTTTTTCCTGCCAAAATGTGTAAAGATTAAGAAAAGAGATGTATGCGGGCACAGTTTTAATCGATACAATGCAGCTGATAGTAATAAACAATTTTAGTTCAATTTTCAGAAACAACCTTTCTAAAAGTAGAAAAAATATTTTGAATTCAATCCTGTAGCTTGTTTTATAAATGGCACTGTAAATTTCTTTAGGTATAAAGCTTCTGTCCATTTAGAATTTTTATTAAAGATTTGCTAAATTCTAAACTAAGGTATTCTTTGTGCACACAAAACATAACCACCACCACTAAAACAGCAATATGTTTGTTTCATTAATAACATTGATAAGATGCTAAAAATGGCAAGTGGATACACAATACGTTTCTTTCAACATAGCTACCATACTTAAAAGCTATAGATAAAATTTAGTCCAGACTAACCTTTTTTCTTTTGATTGTTAATCTGACCCTCATCTTCACTAACATTTTCTCCGGGAATATCTGGATTTATCTCCAGGTTTTCCTTTATTTTATTGGTACTTTTCCTTTCATTCTTTTCTTCTTTCTCTTTTTTGATTGGAGCTTTTTTATTCTGATTATTTATATTTTTACACTGTAACAAAATATTAAAAGATATAAGAACTCAATATTCAGCATATTCACATATTTTTACCTTCTAAAATTAATCATCATGTTTTTAAAAAATCCTATTTTCTTCCATCTCTACTTCCTCCCTTATTTACCAAATGACCTTATTTCCCTTATTTACCAAAAGGCAATTTGCACAAAGACCCAATTATTGTTTTTTCAAACCTATTTTAGGTATAAACTTTCTGTGAGCAGTATTTTTCTTTTCTTTGGATATCATGGCATGAACAAGATCCATAGACATTGTAGGGCACTGTATTTTCCAAACTAGTAAATTCCCACCCATTCATGTTCACTTCTAAAACAGATATTTCAGCTCTCTTGCTAAGAGAACTCTAGTGGCCAAGGTTAGCACTTAGAAGTTGGCTGCAAAATGATGACAGAGAGCTCTGACTATTATTGGCCAAGGTTAGCAACTAGAGGTCACAGTATGGTACAGGAAAAAAAGAAAAAAAAGAAAGCCACCTATGTGGAAGTAAGTATTACTACTGCCATTTAAGAGTTTAAAAAATAAATAGCACATAGAGCATTTTAGCTGTCAGGTGCCTGCCACAACCTACTGAAAGTAGAAGACCCAACACTTCTGTGATCAACTAGAGAAATAAAACTATGAGCAGTCTAGACAGGAAGGACCACCAGCAGAATGCTGAGAAGAGCAAAATGTAGCGTGTGTTCTTGCGCTCTGCTAGAAGTGTAGAGAAATAACACCTTCTAAAAGGACACAGAAAACTGAGCCTGTGGTGCATTTTTTTCAGAAGTGTACTTACCTCAGAGCTTGCAATTTCACTTGGTGTTGGCCAGTTTGTTGCATCACTGAAATCATCTGCCTGCAGCAATAACAAAAACAACTTACCGTCTATACAGTATTTGTTTAAAAGGAAGCAGGAAAGTATTCACATTTGTCAATGAAATTATACTACAGCAACTAGATTGCTGATAACAACAAGATCATTAATAATTGTTTTGACTATTACAGCAGGATGACCAAAATGAACAGACCAAATATAAGTAGTCTTCACTTAATGACCACATTTGGGACTGGCAACTTCATTGCTAAGCAACACAGTCATTAAGCAAATCGGCCATGGTTGTTAAGTGAGATATTACATGACCATAACTTGCTATTTTGCTGCCGGCTCATTGACTCTTCTTGCCAGAAGCTGGCTTTGAAGCACGTGAACAGCGATCACATGACCACAGGACGCTGCAATGATCATAAATGCCTGCTGATTACAAAGCACCTGAATCTCGACCATGTGACTGCAAGGATGCTGTGATGGTCCTAAGTGCAAGGACTGGTTGTAAAGTTACTTTTTCAGCACTGTTGTAACTTTGAATGGCTGCTAAACAGAGCAGTCATTAAGCAAGGACTACCTATAAGTCAATATTTCCCAATCCCTGCACCTATTTTTAATTAATTATTGGAGCTATAAAAACTTAATGTTGCCTTATTCTGTAGGATTGCTTACCTTTAAAAACATACAGGTGAAACTCGAAAAATTAGAATATCGTGCAAATGTTCAT